AAAACCTGCAGTATCCAACCTGTGTCTAGATGTCCCAGCCCTGAACCTTTTTTCATTCAATACAACTTCATCTAGTGTGAGAAATATTTGGGGTAGGATTGGTGTAGTACAGTGGTTCTCAACCTCCTTAAGCTCAGGATATCCCTTCTAGACTCAAGGCACCCCTCAGAAAATGTCAGCTCTTCATTTTCGCTCATTTTTTGACTACAGAAAAAGAATAGAGGCATTCTTCTGTTGCAAGAACTCGGAAAAACCACAATAGGTCAGAATGTTTTTAACGTTATGGATTCCAGTGTGAAATCTCTGGGTTTATCTAATGTTTGGACACCTAACTTGCAACTAAATTTGTTTAATAAAGGTCAGGTAAAAGTACAATAGAACATATTGTAAGAAGAAAAATACCAACTTTCTAGTTTTGGAGTGCACATTTTAGTGCAATTAGTAAGATAAAATAGTGTTTGGTTCAGCAGAGTATTGCAGAATGTCATGCCACGGTCCGCTTCGAAGAGGGTCAGGACATATGGCTTGCTAATAAAATACACTCTTGAAAGGATCTCAAGGCACCACAGGGTGCCCGGGCACCCGATTGAGAATCACTAGTGTAGAAGGAGCTTCTGACTGAAATTACATACATTCCTCATGAATGTCATTGCTTACTGTGGAGCACCTAGAATTTGTATTTACATTTCTCCAGGGCCCGGTCCAGCCTCATGACTGTTGAAATATGGCAACTGTGAGGAATTAATTGTGAGGAACTGATAGTTTTAGTCCTGCAAAATTAATTTAGAAAATTCAAGAAAAACCTAAAGCACCTTTAAAAAGCTGTAAGCCATTCCATCTTAATGATGAATTTTGTTCTGATGCAGGTATCAGTGAAAATAGTTTGGACTGTCTGGTGTTCGAGTCACTGATTCCAAAACCTATACTACAGCGATATGTGTCTCTCTTGATGGAACATAGAAGGATTATCTTGTCTGGCCCGAGCGGCACTGGAAAAACATACTTAGCAAATCGTCTGTCTGAATACATGGTACTTAGAGAGGGAAGGGAGCTGACTGATGGAGTTATAGCAACTTTCAATGTGGATCATAAATCCAGTAAGGTATGGAAATGGGGATTGTCTTTGCTGAAAGACAGAATTCACTATTGAGATGTAAAAACTCCATTTGGTTTTTGAAGCAGTGTAAATGCTATAAGTAAAGTACTGTATCAGGGATGCTCTATCTCCAGCCCACGACCCAAATCCAGTCATCAGGGTCCTGTCATCCACCCTGCAGGGCTCCCTACAGGTCTGGAAATTTGGCACCAGAGAGAGGGCATTGTTAATTGCCACAGCTCCTGAAGTGGCTCTGGAAGCCGTGGTAACTGATACTACTTCCACTCCCCTGTGCACAGTATTGTAGAGTATGGCCACTCTGCAGCCATATTTAGTGTGTGAAGCCAGGCTAATATGGATCCCCTGTGGGATGACCCACACTCTGACCCCATGATAGATTGACCCAGCCCAGCCCCATCCCACTCATTCAGCCAGCAGCGCAGGAAAGTAGAGCACTACTGTGCTACACGAAAGGGGTGTGTGATTTTAAGATTTCCAGGCCTATAGCTCTGATCCTCACCTGGCTCTGATCCTCAAAACTCACAGATAATATTAGGTTCCCAAGTGATCTGATTCTGAAAAGTACTGAGCACCCAATGGTTCTCATTTGAAGTTAACTATATACACTTCATTCCCAGTGATCTTGCTGGCAGCTGTTGATTATTGGGACTTTTGAAAAAATATAGACCATTTTAAAGCACATTTGGGCTGTATTAACCTCAGAGTAAAGGAGTTACGCAGCTGCAAGTAATATTAGTGGTGTCCTAGCAGCATTGTATCTACACTTGTTGCTGTCCAGAAGTATTCCCAAGCCAGTAGGACATGTCTATACCTTTATGCTATTAGCTTTGCTTATACACACCTCCAGTAAAATTTCTTGAAAACAAAGCTGTTCTGTGAGCTGTGAATTTGATGGTCTTGAACAAATTATGCCCTGGGCTAGAAGCATGGTCACTGGCTACGGATAGAATTTGGGGCATCCTATTTAATAAACACTTTAGAGAAGATGAGAGCACTCTAAACACACCCAGGTACGTAGGAGTACTACTGAAGCCTCTTTGTTCTTCCATGCCATCATCCAAGCCATCTAAATTCTGCCTCTACAAAGGAGCACTGTGTGAGCCATACTTAGAAAGTAACACAGCAGGAAGAACACATAATCAAACATGGCAAGAAGGGCCCCTGAAGTGCAAGGCTACATCTGCAATTATCTGACTTAACTTACACAGTAGCAATTGAGCATTTGTGTAAAATGCTAAACACATTTCAAAGCTCTATGCAGCATGGCTAAACTATACAGTACAAGAAGTGTGAGCAACAAGACAGACCATCTCCCCTGGACTTTTCAAAATGGACATTGTGGAGTGACTTTAAATTTCTAACACAAGTAAAGCTTGAATAAAAACAAAAGTAAAATTACTTGTTTTACTCCACTTGGGAAAAACAAGCTCATTGTCCACAATAGAGCAGGCTACTATATATATTTTTTATCAGGTCATATCTAAAACTTAATTTAACCCCATGGGACATCTTTTGACTCTGTTCACTGGATTTCTAAGGAATATCATGAAAACTAAACTTCCTGTTTCTTTGTGCTTTTCAGGAACTTCGCCAATACTTGTCCAACCTTGCTGATCAGTGTAATAGTGAAAACAATGCTGTGGATATGCCTCTTGTCATTATTCTGGATAACTTGCATCATGTTAGCTCCCTTGGAGAGATCTTCAATGGGCTTCTGAACTGCAAATATCATAAATGGTAATGAAACATTGGACCTACACCTCAATGCCCTAAAAGAGTTTACTCCAAAGAGGCTTGATCCTGATCACTAGATAAACTTTATTAGATTATGCTCATTGTATGGGCTATAAGATATTGCAGACAGATTCTAGCTGCACAGAATGGTTACATTCTTTGTTTAAATAAGTGGTAACAAGTTAGTAGGGTATTTAGATGTAATGTGTTAATTACACACAATAACCCTTCAATAATTAACAGTAAAGTTTTAGTGAACACCTCTGTTTTGAAGGTTCAGTTTTGCAAGCACCGTTCAGTGCAAGCACAAAATTGTGGGTCTGTTTATGTGTGCCTGCAGGCAAACTGCACTGGCAAGAGGGACCAAGTGATACTTAGTTGAATACAGGGGCCTGAAAGCTCTTATTTTGAATGCTATGCATTAAAAATGTGTTTGACTTATTGCCTAGAAATATGCTTACAGCTACTGGTTTGTTCCATGTTTTCTTATAGTCCTTACATTATTGGCACAATGAACCAGGCCACCTCCTCAACCCCTAACCTTCAGCTTCACCACAATTTCAGGTACTGTGTGTTTACTGGTCTAATTTCTGTTTTGTGAAGAGGCCAGAGAGGAAATGCTAATGAGTCACGCACACAAGTTCTCAGCAAGTAAGCTAGCAAACTAAAGAGGAAAAAATGCTGTTCTCTTATAAAAGATGACCAGACACGTGCAGCATTACCTTGTAACAGGGGTGTCAAATTAATCTGGATGCATAGGTTGGATGAGTGGTGTGAGGCTGGTGCACAAACCAGATCGCACCCATGAATGCCTCTGCTTTCCCACTTCATGCAAGATCCAGCCCACACAGTGACTATTCTGGCTGGACTGGGGCCCACACTGCAGGCAGCACCTCTGTAGCACGTCCCAGCCTGGCCAGGGTGGGAGGGGAGGGCAGCATTCAGAGTGATCCCAGACTGGCTGGAACAAGCACTGTGTGCCTCAGCCTGGGTTCCAGAGTGGGTACTGCATGCAGCCCATGTCCTGGACCCTGTGTGCAGGGTTGGGATGGTAGTGTGGGAGTCAATTCCGATCCAGGAGTGGCACCAAGGTCTGGGTGATGGGGCTCCATAGGCCAGAATCAGACCCTGGGCTTCATCTTTGGCACCCCTGCCTTATTAAAATGATTTTTGTTCTAAATATGAATGCATATCATTCTTTAAAGTTGCCTTTTGCAGGCTTTGTAATGAGAGAGTCTTGTGCTCCAAGTGCAAATTAGATTAACATAAACATGAAGATATACAAAGGAAGCAGGCAGAGACTGAGGAAGGATGGATAAAGCAAACAGCAGTATGGGCTGTGTAATCTAGTGAGCTTATAATTACAGTATGTCTTCTGCTAAGGAAGAAATTATAACTGTGGTAAACCAAATAACCTGATAATTCTGATTGTACAGATCAGCTAGATAGGAAGAACAAAACCCATTCATGACCTAACATGAAAAATCGGTGTTCTTCAGAACAAAAGTTAAAACTCTGAAACTTCTTTTCTGCCTTAGATGGGTGCTATGTGCCAACCACACTGAGCCTGTCAAGGGCTTTCTTGGTCGTTTTTTGAGAAGAAAACTAATTGAAACAGAAATCAGTGGCAGGATGAGAAATGCAGAACTGGTTAAGATCATTGACTGGATTCCCAAGGTCTGGCAGCATCTCAACAGATTCTTGGAGGCTCACAGTTCCTCTGATGTTACTATTGGTGAGAGTTCAGAATTCCCATCCTAGAGCCTAGTGCATTTTCAGACATTTTTGAGAGGATGTATTCCTGTTCCTTGTATTCCACTGGAATTAACCATTGGGGCAAAATGTTTATAAAATGTCTATAAAATCTGTTTTTTAAGATCAGCCCATTCTGCCAAGCAAAACTTACTATGTACTCATTATACACAGGGATCTGGGTTTTCTGTTTGCTGCAGGAAAATGTGGATTTTTCTCCTTTAATGGAGAAAACTTTTAAAAGAGAAAATCATGGCTTTCTTTTAAAGGAGAAAAACTCAGGAAACCATGGGTTTCCCCTTGTAGGCTGGCAGAGTTCAAGCCTGCAAGGGGCTACTTGGGGTTGGGGGGAGTGGGGAGGGTGATTGTAGGTAGGTCACCATGTGCAGGTAAGTCTATGGGGGTGGAGGAGAAAGGGCACAAGCAAAGTGTTGTAGGAGTACAGGCAACATGTCTGGGTAGTTGGGGGCACAGGTGATGTGTCAGAAGGGTGGGGGGACCAAGGCAATGTGGTGGACAGGGATGAGAGGGCAAGGCATGCAGAGGACACGTGCCCCCAAGATTTCTGAGCTCACAGTGGGACACAGGACTGCAGCTGGGCCGGACCAGCTCCAGGCAGGACCCAGTGCAGGACAGAGCACTGAATTGTGCCCCTGCTACTATTGGCTGGGCAGGGGGCACCTCACCTTGGCCATAGCACACCGCTCCCTCCCCCATTTGCCAGGTTCTGCCTGCTGGGCTGCGGAGGCAACTCCTGTTCATAGCTGGTTCAGTCCAGCTGTAGCCCCATGCCCCACTGGGCACAGAAGTCTCAGGGGGGCATGTACCCCCTGCTGCATCACCTACACTTCTTCCCACCCCCACACATTGCATGTGCCCCCCCCATTCCCTACACACCAAACCTGTTCCCCACATACCCACTCCCTTCCCTACATACCAGGGGGCTGGGGGCAGGGAGTGGTGGGTTGGGAGTGAGAGGCACTGGCAGGGCTGGGGTGGCTGTGGGTCAAGAGTGAGGGACACCAGCAGGACCAGGAGGCTGTGTGTTGGGAATGAGGGGCACCGGCAGGGCCAAGGGGCTGTGGGTTGGGAGTGAGGGATACTGGCAGGACTGGGGTGGCTGTGACTTGAGAGTGAGGGTCAATGGCATGGGCAGGACACTGGCATATCAGGGCTGCTTAGCACCACAAAGAAATGGTGAGGACAGCCACAGCTGGACCCACATCCTGGTGAGCAAAGGGTAGGGGGGGAGCTCTGATTTTCTGTAATAAAACCCCCCAAATCAAATGCCACAATTTGAATTTATTTAGAGGTGTTTAGAATTTTATTTTTATTATAATGATTGAGGCACTGGTAGGCTTCCAAATTGCTTAAAAATTGTAAATATATCAATAGAACATTGTGTTCAACTGATATATACTTACATGCACACACACACACACACACGTGTATATATGTGTAAGTATATGTGTGTATGTATGTGTATATGTATATCTGTGTGTGTGTGTTTCATTTTTACCATGGAAAAACATGGATTTGGGGTTTTTTAATCAGAAAGTTTGGGATTTTTGGACAGAGAAAACCAAGTTCCCTAATTATAAATAGTTTGTATATATGGTAAAATTTCTGATTTCTTATTTATTAAAGGACCGCTTTATGAATTTTCAGCCTTTGATAAAAATAACTATATGCTACTGTGTTTAATTGGTTCCTTCTTAAATGCTGTAGAACTTCACATTTTTTCAGAGTTTGTGAATTATCTGAAAGACCAGACACCAGGCATGTACATTAGTTCTCTCCACTTGGGTTACTGTCTCCAAAGACTTTGGAGTTGCTGTTTGGTGTTGTTTTGAATAGTTATTATTTGCTTTTAATAAGTGAATATTCCCCTCTAGGTCCACGACTCTTCCTGTCCTGTCCAATAGATGTAGATGGTTCTAGAGTCTGGTTTACTGACTTGTGGAACTATTCCATTATCCCATATCTTCTGGAGGCAGTCAGAGAAGGACTACAGGTAAGGAATCAAAATCTGAAAAATAACAGACCTGAACAGGGTTTCTGTCTATGTGGTAGGAAATAACAAGACCACATAAACACTTTCTCTAAAAACAATTTGAGGTTTGGCTGTATATGATCTGGGAGCTTCTGGATTTGTTTTTCGGTAGAAAAACTTACCTGGAGACTCCTGAACAGACTGAGTGCTGAACCCCTGAAGAACGGTGCTAATGGTGAGATGCTCCTGTGCACACATCTCAGCATGCTCTACAGGCTCCCACAGTCTGCCTGGAAACAGATGGTAGCAGTGCATAGGGCAGTCCTGATTGGCTGACGCAAACTGCTGAGTTAGCTTGTGTCTCCCTACAGTATAATGTGGAGATGGCAAAGGGGGTGTGTTCTGCTCCCTGCTTGGCTGGAGCAGTAGAGTCCACTCCAAATGACACACTGTCTCCTGTGCAGGAGGCAAGGGGTACAAGCAAAGAACCATGGGATGCTGGAGGACTGTGCTGTGGCTTCTCTCAGAAGGGAATGTGTACTTGCATTCACTTTCCCAGAAGATACTCTTCCAGGAGCGATTTTATCCCTGGTTGTTCCTGCGTGGCTTGTTGGCATATATCTGGATTTGAGATGTGTCTGCAACAGCGGGCAAAAGACCATCTTTGGAAGATGGTTTGGAACATCTTGACTGGAACATGCTGCTTCTGAAATTTAGATTTACCTTTAGAAATAGTTTTTTAATGCCTAGCTACTTTTAATTGCACTGGGAGTTGGGAGCCAAAATATTTTAAAATCTTCCTTTAGCACTTAACCTGCATCTAAAATACAAAACAAGCATTGGTATTTGTATTGCTATTACCTTTTTCATCCATATTTTTTCTTCTTCTCTTAACAGGAATAGCAATAGATTTACCATGACTTGAGATACATTTGAGCTGTCTTTCAACAGAAAGAAACAATGCAGTATTTGGAGAGAGCTTACTGAATGAGTGGTAGCATTTTGTACTGATGCTTTGCCTATTTATTTCTCAGTCTAGGTGATGAAATATTAGGAATACAAGAATATAGCAAAGTTGGGATGGGAGGTATTTCACAATGTCATGTAGTCCAATCCCTTGCTCAAAGTAGGACGATACCTGACTATCGCATCACAGTCAAGTATTTGTCCCGCTTGGTCTTGAAAATTTCCTGGGATGGAGATTCTACAATTTGTGTAGGTAGCATGTTCCAATACTTGGCCACCCTCAGAGTCAGAAAGTTCCTCCTCATCTCCAACCTAAATTTCCCCTGCTGATGCATGATGCCACTGCTCCTAGCCCTGTCTCCTATGACCGCAGAAAAAAAACCCATCTCCATCCTTTCTCTGATTGCTCTTCAAGTAGTTGAAGACATCAAATCAGTCTGTTTTTTCTTCTCCAGACTTAATAACCCTGGCTCTTTCTGCTTTTCCTTATACATCTTCCCTCCTAGGGTTCTAATCATTTTGTTGCTCTCCACTGGACTTTTTCCAGTCTGTCCCATATTATTTTGTAGGACCCAAAACTGGACACAGTACTCCAGGTGAGGCCTCATTAGTGCTGAATAGAGCCGAAGAATCACTTGCCTTGACTTGCAAGTGATCCTCCTACTAATATAGTCCAGCATACTGTTGCAACAAGAACACACTGTTGGCTCAGCTTATGGACTACTGTGACCCCCAGGTCTTTCTCTGCAGTACTGCAGCCTAGCCAGTGATTGCCCACTCTGTAGTTGCATGCAGTTATTTTGTCCCAAGTGTATGACAGTATTTAAGTTCCAAGTTGACAAAATGGGTCTGGCTCACAAGACAAGTCAAAGTTTACCTAATTCAGAGCTGTCTAACTTCCAAGCCCCTGGGGGCCACACCAACAAGGGCCATACACTACACAGGCTGCACCAAGCACACTGTGTGAATTTTTCCCTTTCCCCCATTCCACTGTACCATACACCAGGACAGGACCAGGAGCAGTGGCCTCAAACTTCAGCAGGAAAAGTTTAGGTTGGAGATTAGGATGAACTTTCTGATTCTGTGAGTGGTCAAGTATTGTGCCCAGCACTGTACCTAGACTCCTGGCAGCCCTGGGTGAACTTTTAGTATCTTCACCAGAGATAATGATGATAATAATCAGACAACCAAAAAAAAATACCATTTTTGGGCCCACTTTCTGTCCAGGCTCCAGGAGGCTGCCCAGTTCACCCATGCTGTGCCCAGCCCTGATTGTGCCATGCAGGCACGTGATGCACACCTTTGTGGGCACTCCCTGCCCCACTGCTGCACTACAGGGGCATAATCCCCACATGTGGCTCCGATCAGCCCCCAACACACCCCAAATGCATCCTTAGCTCCCTGGGCTGCCACACTGCTCCCCAACCCCACCCCGGGACAAAGGCAGGAAGCAACAGCTGGAGGAGGGAGTTGGAACCCAAGACACTCTGACTGCTGTTGAAGCTGGAACAACAGGGGGAGTGAAAACCAGTGAGAGACTAACTCCTTGAGGGCTGTATGTGGCCCATGGGCTGCCAGTTAGCAATCCTGATCTAATTAATAATAGAAGTGTCTGAGTACAAAAGACTATCTTTTTATTAAAGTTTGTTTTGTGAGACCATGGTTGTATTTCATTAATGTGAAACAACTTGCTGATGTTATTCTGGCCTGAAATAATATTTGAGATTCTTCAGCGGTCCTGTAAATCCCTCTAAAATCAGCACAGTTATGTTAATCTTGGAAGAAATGGCAACCTGAAGTCCTCCTTCTTCCCTTTCCCAATTTTGGACATTTGCTAAAGTGGGTTAAGTCAAGTAACCTGGTTTTAATGGGGATGGATTCAATGTAATGTATCCGGGGCCAAAGTTGCAAAATAGGAGATATTATCTTTGAATGTTATGATACTGAAAGGATCTTAATTGAATATGGGCTCCCAATGCAGTGCTATAGCTATGAGTGTGAACACAGTCCTTGGAGGCATAAGTAGGAGAGGCGATATTTCTTCTGTATACAGTTTTATTGAGACCACATTTGGAATACTGTGTTCACTTTTGATATCAACAATTAAAAAGGGTGTTGAAAGACAGGAAAGGTTTCAGAAGAGACTCAAGAAAACATGGTTTTAATAGGAGTGTGAAAAGCTAAGTTTAATTAGCAATGGGCTGAGAGGTCATATTTGCATAAGAGATATTTCTGGTGGTGAATGAATGACTTGAGTCTAACAGGAAAAGGCAAAATGAGATTTTCTGTTTGGAAGCAGAAGCATGACAAATTCTGATTAGAAATAAGGCACAGCTATACCTTTGCACATCCAAAAGACATAACAAAAGGAAATTCACAGTGGAACAACCATTATAGACAACCCTTAAGCAGGAAAGTAGGAACTATTTGCCTTGCTTTTGTCCTTAGTGAGTGAAAAACTCTGCTTTAGTTTACTCATAAAATGGGATTTTGATACTTGTATAGGTGCTCAATGCCTCTATATTTTGCTCTGAGACTATCATAATAGAGGATCAGTAAAGGGCCCTGTAACATTAATAAAAAATAGTAAGGATAATAAAATAGAACCACCTTCCTGTTTTCTTTTTAATTGTGTGGAGTGCCTGTTGGCACCAATATATTTGTAGAAGTGGTTTCCTCGGCATATTTAAAGATCCTGATTTTTGATGTTAAGCTCTTTTCTATCTATTTTTCTCCAAAATTCTGTTATGACATTAAGCTTAAGCAGTAACTAAGATTATTCCAACACTGAGACTGAGGATAAGAATTGTGATTTCAATCCTCAAAGGAAAGGTATGATTATTTTAATGAAAGAAATATATGTTCCATGTTGGCATCTGTCTGTCTCCCATGCAAACAGATGCTCCTTTGTGAATAGTTATGTGAAACTACCTGTCATGAAGGGATGGGTGGGCTGATTTGAGTCTAGTTCCCTTGGAGCTACATGGGAGAACACTGTATATTATTTTTGCCATTTTGGACAAGTATTGCTCAGTCTTGATATTGATTTTATTCCTGAAAGCAGGGATGTGAAAATATGATGATTGTATAATCCATCTGTCCCTCCTTTCTGTTTTGCTATTATAAACCTCAAGAACAACTAATAGGGGGATCTGGAATGCCTGCCAGTTTGCATATTCACTAGTACTGTATCACTGGATCTTGTACATGTTAACCTAGTGGATTGCCACCTCCTTTCCTGCTTTCCAGAAAGAACCTGTCTAGTTTCTATGACCCTTATCTCTAAGGGTTGCAGAGATGGATTGTGCAGGTTGCAAAGGAAGAGAATGGTGGTTCCCAGACTGCATGTGCCATATGTTCAGCCGGGGTGTGTGAAGCTTCAGTTGCCGATTAGATTCGGAGAAGATTTGACCCGATTTTGGAGGCCAAATCACCGAATCTGAATTGAATCAGGAGACCAAAAACACCTCCAAATTGACTCAAAGCCTCCAAATCAATTTGGAAAAAGATTTGGAGATCTGGAAGGCAGCCTTTCAGGGGAACAGAAACTGAGAAGCAGTTGGGGAAAGACTGACATCTGGTCTGATAGTAGCAGGGGGTGGGGAAGACTGACATCTGTACCTGGCCAGTGGCTGTGATCTTTCCCTGAGTCCCGTTCCAGTCACAGTGTCTGGAGGAGGGACATAGAAACAGCACATAAGCCTCTGTCTGCAGCCTTTCTGTCCCTTTAGTGAACTGTTTCTGCCTGAGCACCGGGAAGGTCCCCTGTTACAGGCTACCATCCCTGCTGGTTTCATCCCACTGTGCCTTAACACACACACACAGTGACATGTCATGTGTTTTGCTTGTCAGCACCTTGAGTTACAGTTTCCCAGAAACCCCTGCACCAATCTTCTTGAAACTTGGCAGGCCTCATGCCTTCAGAAGGGACTACCATCCCTGCTGTTTTCATTCAAATCTGCTAAAAATGACAATGTTATTGGTATTTCAGTGATTCCCCATTATAGTCTATGGCCAAATCTCCAAATCAGCACCAAATCTTCTGAAGCCGATTCAGCCGAATCAGTTCGGGACAGTGATCCAAATCTCCAAACTGAATCACTGTCCTCCAAATTGGCCAAATCCAAATTCAAATTGAATACTCCATTATTCACACAGGCCTAATGTTCATTATTTGCAGTGTCGGGACCACCATTTAAATAGAAATTCAACTTATTAATTGTACTTAAATTACAATTAAATAGAAATTATATGTGTTAGCCACCATTTAAATAGAAATTTGACTTACTAAGTAACTGTACTAAGTATTCCTACTGTAAATGACTCTTACTATGGAGCTGTGATGAATGCTTCATAAGTGGGTGCTCCAGATTTAAGCAGTAAACCCAGTTTACAGTGGCATGCATTGAAACAGTTGTCTGATAAAATAGTCACCAAAGTAATCATGAACAATATTTTCTTTGAGGGAAGGAAAAATGGGTTTAAGATTGCCTGGCACCACCTAGTGGACAACTCTGCCTACTCTCAAGTTTGTGTTTTTCGCTCTGAGGAATACATGTTAAAATATAAAATAATTTAATGCTGCATCATTTCTGAATTGGCATTTCTTTGCAACATATTACAAAATCTCTATTTTTATGCATCACCAAAATTCCCATCCTGCTTGGGGTTCCAGTGAAATAAAGGTTTCAATTTTAGCTTGTGTAAATTATTTCTGAAAAGGACTTATTCTATACTCTGCTTGACAGTGTTTATGCTAATTTTATTACAGATCTGCAGCTACTATGAAATACAGTTTGAAAGTCTGAATTCTGTTTCTCTCTACACGTATACCAGGCCTTATTCTGTCACCTTTACTCAGATTGATTAGTACATTTGTGAACCTTTAGCTATTAATGTTCCTGATCTAATGCATCTTCATCACAAACAAAGACAAAACATTTACTTTGCATTAATCTTTGTAACATCTATACGTGTTTCATTGGATGCTAATTTTAAGCATTGTGATGTCTCTTCTGCATAGGTACTGAAATTATAACACTGTTGACTTGATGCTTATGTTGGTAACACTCTCTGCTGCCATGCAAGACAAGTAATTGATTCTCTAACCAGGTTTCCAGTTAAAGCCAAGTTTGGGGGATTTTTCTGAAAGTGTGACACTGGTTTGGAAGAAGTAGCTCTGGGTACTGTTGTCACTATAGACAAAATAGCCCATAAGGTTTAGCTAATAAGGATAGTAGCCTCAGGGATAAAATGTGTGGAAGGGAAAGATAGGAATAAGGGTGATAACTATTCTTTTAGCTCTGGAAGATCTTGAAAATTCCTGTGCCTCTCCATTTTTCCTAATGGAAGAGCATTGTGTTTTTATGGGAACTTAAACAGATTTTATCAAGAGTTTTTAGGTGGCTTTTTCATCTAGCTTTATTTAGATTCAGAAGACTAAGTTCACCAGGGATGATAAATGGAGAGTGTGGTCTCAACTTTTTTTCTCACTTATTGATAAACTGGTGTGAGAAATAAATCAGCCTTTTTTTCCTTTTCTCATTCCCTTTCCCACAGCTCCACATGGGTATAATATGGAATTGTCAATCGTTGCTGTTTTCCAAATTATGGTGTAAAAATTGGAAGGGTTTTTATGACTGTTTGTGAAATATGATTAATATGAGTGTGAAAAAGATAGATAATGCTAATAATAATAATATACGATTGTCTGTGAAAACAGAGAACTAGATTCAAAGATCTTTCAGTCCAGTGTCCCATTGGTGTATGATGGTGTATCATGAGCATGCCTCTTCAAGGCCTTGTCTTTCAGAAAAACACACCATGAAATTCAGTGGGTGGGTAACTGGGTGGATAACCATTCTGGAAAGGGGAATGCTGACCCAGGTTTGGAGCAGGTGTTCAGTGATTCAGGTTTAATAAGGCTTGTTAGGATACTTAAGGGAGTTCCCTCAAAATGGGTTCATGGTTAAACACCCTCTTTATGATAAGAGTTTTGCATTCTGCATTGGCAACCTTGGTTTGAGGGTTCATTCTGCCATGTAAATAATCTGAGTGAGAGCACTAGGATTAATCTGGCTGAACCACCCAGCTCAGTAGAAAGAGATTTTCCATTTTTCTAAAATACCAACATCAAACTTTTCCAACTCTGGAAATACACGTGTGTCTTCATCATAAAGAATGTTCAAATAACAATAAAGGGAGTTGGGGGTAAGGTTAGCACCAAAATATTTATATCCCAAAGATTAAAGGCACTCTAATGTTCTCGTAACATGTCCCTTACCTCCTGTTGTGTCTTATTGCTTCACTCCCCACTGTATATTATAAAGGGAAGTAAAATTCCTTTGAACTCAAGTGACAAAATGCAGATACTGAAATCCAGTTCCTGAAGGGCAGTCAGCCTAGAAATCCCTATAGCAGAAGTGGGTGGGGGAAAGGATCTCTTTTCAGTTGGAGTTTGCTTTTGAAATCTATGTGGCTCAATGGTGAGCTTTTATTTAATGATCAAGGAGCTGGGTTTATGTATAAAACACAACAAAGCCAAGAAAACAGCCCAAATTAGAGGCTCAGAAGCACTGGCTTTATTTTCCTAACAATTATGTTGAAACAAAAATACCTTTCTGGAAGTAGCATATGTGTGTTTGAAGTAGGGGGCTGAACTTACAGAGCCAGTTCTGCTGGCACTTTCACCAGTGCTAGGGCAGAGACGTTCTACTGACTTCAAAAAATATGTCTTTGGCATTCATCCATTAAGTTTCTGGTGGTAAGTGTTGAGTATTTACCCTCACACACACTAGTAACTTACACCAAGTATGTGTTAACTATGAAAGTAAATAAGCAAGTTCCTCCTGCAAAATGGACATTAAAATGTATAGCTTGCAAATATGTATTTATCTTATTTAATCCTAAGGAATGCAGAAGCAGCTTCTGTGATGGATTTGATCTCAGATTCCCTTTCTAAGATAGTGGCAGATTGAGAGACATAGCAGTTTCAAACGACATGGTTAGCAGCCCCTTCTAAGTCAGATTCCATTTGGTAGCTATAACTCCACCATCAGATGGGTGAAACGCACACCCTTCTGTGACCAGTTCTGATTCAGAATATTTTCCATAGCCTGGGAACTCATTTTGGTGAGCATAGAATAAAGAAGTAGGACTGAATAAATGGCAAGAATATTTTTCAAGATGCTTTTGCTCTTATTTTCTAGCTGTATGGAAGGAGAGCTCCCTGGGAGGATCCTGCCAAATGGGTAATGGACACGTATCCATGGGCAGCCACCCCACAGCACCATGAGTGGCCTCCTTTGCTGCAGCTGCGGCCTGAAGATGTTGGATTTGATGGCTATTCTGTGTCTCGGGAAGGCTCAACCAGCAAACAGGTTCCACCAAGTGATGCTGAAGGAGATCCATTGGTGAGTTCTATTTTCATCAGTGCTAATGAAAGTTACTTGCTAACAGAAGAGAAAACCTAAAGAGGAATAAAACAGTAGCTGACAAGCTACAAGTGACCAGGGTGCAGGGAACCCAGGTTTTACCCTCTCATCCCCATTCTCCCCTGCTCAAATCCAAGGGGATTTGAACTTTTGATTCACACTTCTTAGCAATGTACTATAACCACCAGGCCATAAATTAGACATTACCCAAAGCACTCTTCTGCCCTCCTCTTTGAAACTGGACCTTGCATCTTGCGTTTAATATTCACTGGATAAAATAGATAATCAGCACTCACATAGTTTTTAACCGCTTCATGGCCATAACCCAGGACTCCTTCCCTTTGGGGGCAGTATCTATATGCCTGAACCATGCTCCCTCTGATTTATGCTCTTCCTCCTGTTCCCACAAATCCCTGACTTCTGGCAGCCCAATGGACCAGCTTCAAGAGGAGGGCTAGGGAGTGATGCTGGGTAATGCTTAGCCCATAATATGGGCTGCTTACAGATATGGAAAAAACAGAACAAAGCAGCAGTTTACTTTTAGCTTGACACACCCTGCACTTTGATTGAATCAGCTATTAGATTAAAGCACCAAAAAGCTCTGCTGAAGCATGCAAGCTATACAGATGCTGGGGAGCTGGGTCAAATTGACACAATTCCTCTTCTGCTAAAGCACTGGTTGTTTTTTTCTCCCACATCTGTCAGTGCCCATAGAGGTTAGAACAGTTTGCTGGGAAGCAAATGATACAGAGTCAAATCTCCTGTTGGTAAGGGGAACCTAAAACTTAGGTGTCCTATTTCCTGGGCAAGTGCCCTAGCCATTGGGCTGTGGGTGGTCCATCACCCTCCTTCATTTTACTTCTAATAATATGTGCACAGGGTGAACCTATTCTGTCACAGATACAAATAGAATCCAAGTAGTTTGTAAGTGCCAAAAATTGCTGTCCCCAGTTGTGTCACTTAGATATGTGAAGGTGCAATAGGATTTAGTTCAAAATTCTTTCTGGCTCAGATTCAGACTCATATGCCAAGTCCATATGATGCAATAAGAATTGATTTACATTTGGCATCCTGTTAGAGAATCTCAACAATACCCACATTCTTGTTCTCTTTACACATTTTCCACAAGTGACATGAGTGCAAATGAGATGTCCTAGATCACAAATAATCCCGAAAACTCTCTGCACTTTGACAGATGAACATGCTAATGCGACTGCAAGAGGCAGCTAACTATTCGAGTCCTCAGAGCTATGACAGTGACTCCAACAGCAACAGCCATCATGATGACATCCTTGATTCATCCTTGGAGTCAACATTATGATCTTCAGCAGACAAAAAGATTGTTTCCCATTTTGCAAGAATCCTGATCAAAAAACACTAATGAAGATAACTTGTTACCGGACTGGGCAAACGTCTCAGTATTAGAGCTGCAAGAACAACAAGACACTTTATACGAGTCAGTCTTGAACCTGGGTGCAGGCAACCCAAACAACCTTTGTATTTTTTTTTATATAATGGTATGAACTGCACTATTTCTTTGTTTTGTTCTGTTTAGTTGCTGTAAGCTCTCATGCCTAAGATACTGAAGACATTTTAAAAAAGCATCCTCACAATTAAAAAAAAAAAAGAAAAAGAGGGCGGGGGGGAATCCTTTGCGGCTATGAAATAAACAGCTTTGTGCCATGTACTGTCCAGGAAGAGAGGGGAGGGAAGTTCTCTGCATATGCTGCTTCTGACCAAACACATGTAGGTGAGGGCTGGACTTTTACCAATTAGCTTTGCAGACTAAACTCAGCTGCAGATAGTTCTGGTGCTAAAATACATTGCTTTCCTAGGTAATAATGTTCTGTCAAAGGCAATGCTGCAAAAAACAGGGACATTTGAAATACATATTAAAAAAAAAGCTGCTCTCCTTGCCAGTCTGAGACCTTGTCTTTCTTTGCTCTATTTCACCGTGTGTTTATAGAAATATACATAAATATAAATATGAATATATATATATACAGTCTAAACAAATCAGGTTTTATCAAACACTGTGTAACAAACAATTCTACAAAACTTTAAAGACTGAGTACCCCTCTGACATCAGGACATGATTCTTTTCTTCCTTATGCCCATGTAAATCCAATGACTTCAGTGGCATTACTCCAGATTTACGCTAGTATAAGAGACCAAATTGACCCTTCTGCAGAGAGACAGCAAATAGTCTGTATCCTATATAATTCTACAGTTTAAATACTACTGCAGCAGAGTTACATTGGGCTTTCTGTCTTTCGGGGTTAGGGGTGGATTTCTCACGTGAAAAAAATAATCCGACCTCTGGTTTTTAATTTTTGCATTAAAATAGTATGGCTCTTGTCAATTTTCTCTCACTGACCATTACAGCCCCAAATGGGTGCAGTAAAACTCAGAAGTCCAGTGTTACCCTGGTAACATTATTTATTCTGTCTCTTTTTTTCAACTGCAGAATGTAGTGTTCTAGTAGTTCAACTGAACAGTCTTACTGAGGTCTAAAAACAAAGGAAGAGAGGGAGTACTATCTTTTTAAAGTTTAAAATGGGCCATGCTCTTGCATTCTGACCGAGCTGTGAACCTGGTTCTATTTCTCCTCCTCCTGTCCAAACGCACACAAATACAATTCCAGTGTTAAGGCTTGTACATCTGTTGAGGAGTAAGAACACCTCAAAAGAATTGCACTTTCCTTTTTGTGGGAGCAAATACTGACAAACACATCACCACAAGTCAGCTGTCTCAGGCTGTACCTCAGCAAGAATCGCAGTCCTCAGCACTGATTTGTACAAGCCTTTCCAGCTATCTTTTGGTGCTGAACTTTAAAGCGATGCCTTACTTCTTTTGTACTAATTGTGTTAATTACATTAGTGCTGTATATTATGACTTTTTATTTAAATAAATAAACAGGGCTAAAGTCATCTCTTGGAATATGATAAGTTGCTGTGAATATTGTTTGTATGAGATACTAGATTTTGTTTAAATGTAACAGTAACAGAGGAGGAAAATGAGATAACTTTTCAGGTTCATATCATCTGCAGCTAATAGTTCACTGGACAGCTGTTTATCTAATGCAGGAAAAAAAAAAGCTTTTCTATGATAATAAATGCCATCACTAGTAAACTACAGGAAAGCAATTGCTGTTTTTTCAGTGTACAGGTAGAAAAACTTATTACAAACACTTTTTTAAGAGCGTGTTAATCCTTGTGGGTTTAAAATAATGTAACAGCCAAGTTCATGCTTCTGTCACTCAGTTTGAGAGGATAGTTTTATTATACCTCATGACTTTCTACTCTCTGTGACATGACTGTACTTACTTTTTTGTCTTTTGTCCAATGAGAGCTGATACTGAATCTGCTCCTGTTACAGCTTTTGAGTGCTGATGACCTTTTTAAAAAAAATGTAAAAGAATAATTAGCGATGGGGGAGTGGGGGGGGGGACTTATCCACTTAAATCACTGGTTTATCTTAGGTGAACTCGAACTACTTATTTCATTTGAACGAAATACCCAGGGTTATTCAACCAACCGTATAAATCCAGTTCAGGTTATTGTAGAATAAGCATCACTAATACAGAACTTTCCCTAGCTGTGCTGATGATTTCAAGAGTAGCTAATGGCTAAAAACAGATGTTGGATTTCTCCCAAGACAAAACCTTTTGTAGGAATGGACAAGCCTGTTGTTCCACATGAAGCACCTGTTAAGTATCCAGATTACCACTTTGCACTGGGACAATACCAGCTCATTTGATTTAATTGGCATTCAAGCCAAACAACTGTCCTGCACCTGTTTTGATTGGAGTCACAGCCTAGGACAGTCAGCCCAGAGATAAACCCAAGGTCTGTTTTGAGCCAATTTCTCAACAGCCTGACAGTTCTGCTTCCCAACACTGACTTTGACTGTTACTACTATGAAACCGAGTAGAGAATAAGTACCTGAACCTGCATCTGAATCCATTCAGGTAGACTTTTAAGCATGTATGGATCTAATTGCAGGACAGGGACCTAAAGTGACTTAACATTATACATTTCTCAGCTACCCTTTAACTGATTCCTTCAGATACATTTGAAACTCTGGGCATGCCTATGCTCTCTGTAGACCATGCTAAGGTTCTCTGCCATGAAGCATAATGCATAATGTTGCTGTCTCCAGCACTGGCCAAGCATCAATTAGAGCTTCTAAAATAAGGAGTTCATTGGCACATGTACTGCATTGCATGAATATAAAATATTGGTGTGCTGTGCTTCCTGGCAGAGATCCCCAGCACAACCTTCGGAGGCCATAGATGTGCCTTGTGTGCCATTTTGGTTGCCATTTTTCTTTTCCCCAAACCTATGCTCAGACACAGGAGACACTCAGTCCTGCCAATGTACTTCTGTGTTATTGACAGTAGTTTGGGTCACTGTAAGGAGAGGGCTTTGAGTCATTTTAAGCATCACAAAACTCAGTATCCTTTCTGCAACTTTGGGAAGCAGGTTTACCTGTTGTGCATGTTTCTTACTTTTCATCAAGTATTTAGTAGAGCCTTGGTATATCTGCTCTTTTTCCTTTTTTAATGACTTCATTTTCATTTTAAGGCTTGTCCTTTTGAGAGGTTTTTTGCCTTTTTTCTACAAAGTTCTACATTAAAACAAAGATCAATAAAACAAACAAACAAAAAATACCCAACAAATAAACTCTATGATTCTATGCAACATTTATGTTGAGTTAAAAACAGAAAGCTTAAACAGTTTTCTTTCCTTCAGAACTGCCAAGAATTGTACAGGCTATAAATGAGATGGGGAAACATTTTTGGTTTGACGGGAGGGTGTTGATGAACCTTTTTTGTACATTTTGGAAAAGAAACTGATATTTCATTGTTGATGCTTACCTTCGGTATTCTGTGTATTGAATCTTGTCTAAATGTGACAATTCTCTTTCAAGAAAAAAAAACAAAAACAAAACAAAAAATCTTTCTTTGTGGATATTAAATGGAAGGTTGCTGTTTTGATCTAGTCGTTTCCAGTGGAACAGTTTATGAAATATGTTCTATAAGATGTACATTTTTTCATTGTAACATAGAAATGTAAATATTTGATTAAAAGTGCTGCATTTTGATGAATTTTTTCTAGCCATTTTTAAAGAGAAAACTAGGAATTGAGTATTTTGTGTACGGTATGATGTTTTCCATCTTCTCCCCTCCCTATTTAATTTTCAGTTGTCATTTAGGATCGGAATTTGCGAATGGTCTGTTTGAGATCATGCCTCCTGCCCCTCCCCTGCCCCTGTGTCATGGAGAATAAAGCTGATGATTGTACCAGTCTTAAATTATTCATGATTCAATAAAATTGATGCTTATTTATTCAGATTTATGGTTTTGCTGCGGTTTGTGCAATATTGATCAGTATCTATCTAGTTATTTAGAGTTTTGATGACTTAGTTTCAGGGTGACAAGAGAATTAAATTAATTTTTAGTGCTTGTAAAAGGTGCTGCCTTCATAGCATGGGAGACTGAAGACCCTATACACAAAAATGAGGAATCTAGAAAGAAGTCAAAAGGAGCAGTAAAAAATGTAAAAGACCTGCAGGCAGCTTGGAAGCTGTTTAAAAATACCGTATTAGATGTGTGGGGATGGTGCATACCATAAATCAAAAAAGGGCATCAAATGGTACAATAAAACCCTTGCATGTTTAAATAGCATAGTTAAAGAGGCCACTCAAGGCCTCTTTAGCTAAGTCATCCTTCAAAAAATGGAAGGTGTGTCAAAATGAGGAAAACAGGAAAGCTCACAAACGCTGACAAGTCAAGTGTAAAAGTGAAATAAGGAAAGCCAATAAAGAATTTAAGGAGCTTCTAATCGAAGATGCTGTGGTTGATCATAAAATCTTTTTAAAATACATCAGAAGCAGGAAGCCAGCAAGAAAATGGGTGGGACCCTTAGATGGCCAAGGTGTAGAAGGTGCTCTCAAGGATGATAAAGCCATAGCAGAGAAGCTGAATAAATTCTTCTCATCAGCTTTACCACAAAAGATATCAGGGAAATTCCCATGCTGGATCAATCCTTGCTAGTAGATAAGTCTAAACAGTTATATCGCCCTGTAGTGATAACAGAAGAAGTTTTAGTACATATAGATGAATCCTGATAAATCACCAGACGTGGATGGCATTCATCCAAGAGTTCTGAAGGAACTCAAAGGTGAAATTGCAGAACTGGTGACAATAATATGTAACCTTTCGTTACAAACAGCCTCTGTGCCACAGGACCAGTGGGTTGCCAAACCCTATCTGCCAAACACCCATCAAACATAACCTGTATAATACCCATCTGCCAAAAGGGCTTTAAAGCTGATACTGGGAATGACCAGTGAGTCTCACTTTCATCCCTGGCAAGTTAGTGGAATCTAGAATAAAAAATAAAATCAGCAGTCACATGGGCAAATATGATCAGCTGGGTAAGAATCAGCATGGTTTTTGTATCACCAATCTGCTCTAGCTCTTTGAGAGTGTTAACAAGCATGTGGACAAGAGGGATCCAGTTGACATAATGTATTTGGACTTTCAAAGAGCTTTTGATAAGGTTCCTCACCAAAGGCTTTTAAACAAACTGTTGTTAAGGGGTGGGGGGGGGAGGGGAAAAGCCAATGCCAGGTAATATTAGAG